AAAAAATCAAAATTGGCTTGGATAAGTGGTATCAAAAAGACACTCACTATTATTTCCGCCCTCTTCTTCGCCATACCAGCGCTTGGAGGAGGAGCACGATGCTGTTCACTTTTTGCTGGGAATGTTGGGAACATTTCAGGAGGTGTCGGCTTTGGATCCTCGCTGTAAAAGAAAGCAAGTAGAATGAAATCAATGCCGACACATATCACTTGGCGTGTTCTTGGATTTTTGAGATGCTGCCCAAATGTAGGAGGAACCATAGTTAATACAATAGTATTTAAATGATGTTCAAAAACTTATTTTAATAAGTTCTAAAGTTCTAAATTAAGAGGAAAATCATAGGTTATTTTGAAGTGAAACAATTGAAGGAACATACCTGAACCATCTATCGTTAAGAGCTTCATCCGCTGTGATACGTCGAGACGGATCATAAGTCAAAAATCTAAACTTAATGGAGCTTCACTTATAAATTTAGTAAAGGAATGGTTAATTCATATCAGAACCTCAAAAGGTATCAAGCTCAACTGTTCTCACCTGTTCAATAACTTGAAACCACTCTCATTCATTAGGTGAGCAGGAAACTTCTTCCGCAACTGATTGTAAGGATGATTCGCTAACTTCATCTGAAAAGTCGATGACATCATAATGCATCGACGTGAATTTAAAAATACAACGACTTACAAGTTTTGGTCCAGGTAGTTCACTATAACCCTCCCATATAGAATCTGAAGGTGTCCCAAGTTCCTGAAAGGAGGGAATCTAATTAGCATAGATGGTGCTAATGAAATAAATCTACCATAAAAATCTTGTTTATTTCATCCAACTCTCCATTTCCAGGGAACAATGGTTTCAACAGCACAAATTCTCCCATTATACAGCCAACAGACCAGAGATCGATTGGAGTTGAGTAGAGCTAGAGATCAAATTCATAACAAAATACATCAACTCTGGAGCCAAAACCCAAATCGCAAAAGTTGAAAATCATACCTTCTGACCAAGAAGAAGTTCAGGAGCTCTGTACCACAATGTAACAACTACTGCCGTGTATGGCCTCAGCGGATCACCATACTCCCTTGCAAGTCCAAAGTCAGCAATCTGGAAAGAAAGGATTTCGCTGAATGCAAATCATAGCGTATACTCCTCTTGGATACAGACATTTCTCAAGGTAAAAATAACCATGATGAATAAAAAAATTTTGTTGCTTATTATTTCTTACATAAAGAATTCGCAGACAAATTTTGTTATGAAGATAGGAAGAAAAATGGTTTCAGAGGTGCTTTGAGTCCCCTTAAAGCTTATTTTGGAAAAACTTTCCCCCTAAACGGTCTCCGCTTTGTCTTCAGATTCAAATTGCTGCGAAGAATTAAGCTCATACCTTTCAGACAAAAAAAAA